GACACGCGTACTCCATCCCGAATCGCGGGCACCGCGGGGCAACCAGTCGCGTCATCCCACACGTGGTGGCTGAATGTGAACATCGCATTGGGCGCATGATCGTGGGTATCAATCGTGAAGTTCTTCCATGTATCCCAATCGCCCCTGACCGTCGACGATACGCAGGATCATTCGATAAACGTCGATTTCTTCGTTGTCCCTGCATCCATCTTCGCGCGCCAGACCTCGGCCGTTCCCTGTACCGTCGCAGTCGACGCTCACCGTGACCCACCATTCCCAGTCCAGACGTTCGCCGATTTTGATGGGTGCCTTGTTGAGCTTCACGCAGTAGGAGCCGGACTGTCCCTTCTCTCGATCTCTCAACATGCGTGTGGCCGTCGGCTTTTCATCGCAACTGGCGTCCACAGTCACTCACGGCCTCGTGCTCTCTCCCCTTGCAGCCAGGGGTGGTTGGGGTCCGTCTGGGCGCGGATGGACGGCGCCACGGTGACGGACAGAAGCGCCGACACCACGATGGCCGAGACGAAGAAACGTTTGCCGCGGAAATGGAGGCGTGGATGTCGTTTGCGGGAGAATCCCGACACCTTGCTCCCTCAGCCGAACGCGTGCACCAAGAAGTCCTTCAACGGGCAGGCTGCGCTGGGAGCGTTGTGTTTTTATGGGCCCCGGCAGTACGGGGGGAAACGATAGCACACCCCGGTCGACGACGCGACGCGCCCGGCCGGATTCAATTCAAGCCAATCGGTCTTCCTGATTACGCAGAATCCTCAGCCTGGACCCGCGGCTTCCCGGGGTCGCAGGCCTCCTGGGAGCGCGGGCTTCAGCCCGCGGGCCCACTCATGGAGAGGTCATGCTCTGTCAACTTTCACTTGGAGGAGGTCTCAGCCGCCGCCGAGCGCTCGCGGCTGAAGCCCGCGCTGTCCAGCCGTGGCATCTCGAGACCCCTGAGATCCCAACCTGAGCCTTGTACGTAGTCAGGTCGGTCTTTGGCGTCCGAAAAGCGATTTCCGGAACCGTTCGTTCTTGAGATTGAGTATTCAAATCTCTCGATTAGTTGCAGATTCGCCTTGCGCGAGTATTGTCTTCGGACCCTTGATGCACACTCGAATTCGTGACGTGAAACACCCCCAAGGGTGCGGACCGGGTGCCGGTAGTGCCGTGAAGTCGGGTCTCCGGTTCGGTCGCGGGTCGCGTCATGCCGTTCGACCGCCGGCATCGTCGCACGCGTGAACGAAGGCCCGGAACCACGGCCGCCGCGCCGGAGCCGCTACCGTCCGGCCGCTTCGCCCCCCCGCCTCGTCAGTCCGGGACCTCGGTGATGATCCCGTAGTGCTGCGGCTGGCGATGGAGGGCGAGGTTGAAGATGTTTCTCTGGATCTCGCCGCAGCGATCGAGGTCGCAGTCCGCGACCACAACCACCACCTCGTCCCCGAGGGTCGTGCACATCGCGACGATCTCGCCCGTCGGCGCGATGATGCAGCTCTGCCCGATGAGGTCGCAGCCCTCCTCCCGGCCGCCTCGCGACCCCCAACACCCAGGCCCCGTTCTGGTAGGCGCCGGCCTGCATGGAGAGAGGTTGTGGAAGTTCTGGAGGTGGTCGAGCTGGGGCGCGCGCGGGTAGTGGACCGGCGTGTTGTAGCCGAGGAGCACGATATCTCACTCCCTTGAGGCCCATCACCCGGTACGTCTCCGGCCAACGCCGGTCGTTGCAGATGCACATGCCGACCCGCCCGTCGTAGGCGTCGAACACCGGAAAACCGAGGTCGCCCGGCTCGAAGTACGCCTTCTCGAGGTGCTGGAACGGCCAGTCGGGCTCGTGGTTGTCGTGCCCGGGGAGGTGCACCTTGCGGTACTTGCCGGCGATCCGCCCCGCCGGATCCACCAGGATCGAGGTGTTGAAGCGCCGCTTCCGGTTCCCCTCGCGGACGATCTCGGCGTAGCCGAGGTTGAAGCCCACCCCGAGCTCCCGCCCGAGGTCGAACAGCGGCGCGACCGCCCCGTTCGGCATGTCGGTCTCGTAGAAGGATCGAGCTCCGCCTCATCCTCCATCCACCAGCGGGGGAAGAAGGAGGTGAGCGCGAGCTCGGGGAACACGACGAGCCGGGCGCCCCGGGCATGCGCCTCGCGCATCATCGCCACCATGCGGGCGACGGCGGACTCGCGCGATTCGTCGCGGGCGATCGGCCCCATCTGGGCCGCGGCGACGCAAACGGTTCTGCTCATGGACCTCTCCTCGAGGGCCCCGGCGCGAAGGACGGCGTCAGTCGAAACCGCATCGCGTCGAGACTACTGGTGCAGGTGGCAGGCCACGTCGTGGCCGGCGGCGACGGTCTTCATCACGGGGACTTCCGTCCTGCACCGCGGCTCCACCACCGGGCACCGCGTGTGGAACGCACCGCTCGGCGGGTTGATGGGGCTCGGGATGTCGCCTTGCAGGATGATCCGCCGGCGCCGCGAGCGCGGATCGGGCACGGGTGCGGCGGAGAGCAGGGCCTGGGTGTACGGATGCAACGGCTCCTCGAAGAGCGTCCGCCGGTCCGTCAGCTCCACGATCTTGCCGAGGTACATGACCGCGACCCGGTGGCTGATGTGCTCGACCACCGCGAGGTCGTGGCTGATGAAGAGGAAGGCGAGGTTCGCGTCCTGCTGGAGATCAATCAGCAGGTTCAGGACCTGCGCCTGGACCGACACGTCGAGGGCCGACACCGGCTCGTCGGCCACGATGAGGGCGGGCTCGAGGGCGAGCGCCCGCGCCACCCCGAGGCGCTGGCGCTGGCCGCCCGAGAACTCGTGGGGATACTTCACCATCGACTCGCCGGTGAGGCCGACCCGCTCGAAGAGCGCGATGACCCGGTCCCGGATCTCGTTCTTCGGCACTCCCCCGTAGTTGCGGAGCGGCTCGGCGACGATGGTCGCGGCCGAGAGCCGCGGGTTGAGCGATGCGTACGGGTCCTGGAACACCATCTGCATCTGCCGGCGGAGGGCCCGCAGCCGGCGCGCGGGCGCACGGGTCACGTCGTCCCCGTCGAGCACCACCTGCCCGGCGGTCGGGTCGATGAGGCGCAGGATGGACTTGCCGGCGGTGGACTTGCCCGATCCGCTCTCGCCCACGAGCCCGAGGGTCTCCCCCGCGCGGATCTCGAAGGAGATCCCGTCGACCGCGAACACCGACCCCACCCGCCGGCGGAGCAGCCCGCCGTACACCGGAAAGTGCTTCTTGAGGTCGCGCACCTCCAGCACGGTCCGCGCGTCGGCCGCGGGGCCGTGCGCACCGCCCGCCCCGCCCGGGCCAGCGGCCCCGGCGGACACTTCGCCCTCCCGCACCGCGCTCATGACTGCCCCCTCGCGACGACTTTCTCCCACTCCCAGCAGGCCGCGAGCCGGCCGGGGCGCAACTCCTGAAGCGGCGGCGCCTCGCGCCGGCATCGTTCGGTCGCAAACGGGCAGCGAGGGGCGAACGCACAGCCGACGATCTCCTCCCGGAGCGACGGCACGACCCCCGGGATCTCGTTCAGCCTCGTGCCCGCCCCCTCGATCGTCGAGAGCTTCGGGATCGAGCCCATGAGGCCGAGGGTGTAGGGATGTAACGGCTGCTCGAAGAGGTCGTCCGCGCTCGCCTCCTCCACCTTGCGCCCCGCGTACATGACGACCACCCGCTGGGCGGTCTCCGCCACCACCCCGAGGTCGTGGGTGATGAAGACGATGGCCGCGCCGATCTTCTCCTTGAGCTGAAGCATCAGATCGAGGATCTGGGCCTGGATGGTCACGTCGAGGGCGGTGGTCGGCTCGTCGGCGATGAGGATCGACGGATCGCAGGCAAGAGCCATCGCGATCATCACCCGCTGGCGCATCCCCCCCGACATCTGGTGGGGATACTCGTCCGCCCGGCGGCGCGGTTCCGAGATCTGCACGAGGTCGAGCATCGCAACGGCCTCCGACTTCGCCGCCCGCTGCGAGAGATTCCGATGCAGCTCGAGCGACTCGGAAATCTGGCGGCCGACGGTCATCACCGGGTTGAGCGATGTCATCGGCTCCTGGAAGACCATCGAGATCCGGTCGCCCCGGATTTCGCGCATCCGCTCCTCGCTCGCCTCGAGCAGGTTCTCGCCGTCGAACCGGATCGAACCCGATTCGATTTTCGCGGGCGGCATCGGCAGCAGCCGCAGAATGGACATCGCGGTCACGCTCTTGCCGCACCCCGACTCCCCGACGATGGACAGGGTCTCGCCCGGATAGACGTGCAGGGACAGCCGCTCCACCGCGCGCACCACCCCGTCACGGGTCAAGAACCGGACGCTCAGGTCTTCGATCTCGAGGAGCGGGGAGGCGTTGGACTGATTCATGGGGCTACATCCGCCGGGCGATGCGTGGGTCGAGCGAGTCGCGAAGCCCGTCGCCCAGAATGTTGACGGCGAGGACCGCGACCGCGAGGAACACGCCGGGGAAAAATATCATCCACGGGGCGACCTGAACATAGACCCGGCCTTCCGCCATGATGTTTCCCCAGCTCGGGATCTCGGGCGGGGTCCCCGCCCCGAGGAAACGACAGGATCGCCTCGATGACGATCGCCGACGCGCACACGTAGGTCGCCTGCACGATGAGGGGCGCCACGGTGTTGGGAAGGATGTGCATCCACAGGATCTTGGGTAGCCGGGTGCCGCCCGCGACGGCCGCCTCGACGTAGGGCTGCTCGCGGATGGTGAGCACGACGGACCGCACCAGGCGGACCACCCGGGGGATCTCCGGCACCGTGATCGCGATGATGACGTTGCCGACGCCCGCCCCGGTGAGCGAGATGAGGGCGATCGCGAGGAGCACGCCGGGGATCGCCATCACCCCGTCCATCACCCGCATCACGATGGTATCGACCCACCGTACGTAACCCGCGAGGAGCCCGATCGTCAGTCCCCCCGCGACGCTGATTGCGGCCACCGCGAGACCACGGTGAGCGAGATGCGCGTGCCGTAGATGGTGCGGGCATAGACGTCGCGGCCGAGAAGTCCGCCCCGAACCAGAAGTCCCCGACTCGGGGGCCGGAGGCGGTTGATGTGAGGCGCACCGGATCGGGTGCGATGAGCGGCGCGATGAGCGCGACGATATGCAAAGGGGACGATGATCGAGGATAGAAGCCCGCCACGCGGATTCGTGATGCGACGCCGTAGTCCCTGAGCCGCGCGGCGAGATCGGCCCGCCGCTCGCGAAGGATTTCCCGGCGGAGACGGGAGCGGCCGGCGGCGCCGACGGACGCAACGCGGATGCCGCGGGTACGGGGCGTAGCCGCCATCAGTAGCGGATCCTCGGGTCGAGCACCGTGTAGGAGAGGTCGATGAGGAGGTTCACGATGACGTATGCGGCGGAGAAAACGAGGATCACGCCCTGGATCACCGGGTAGTCGCGGCGCAGCACCGCGTCGATGGTGAGGCGTCCGAGACCGGGGATGTTGAACACGCTCTCCGTCACCACCACCCCGCCGATGAGAAGCGCGATCCCGATCCCGATGATCGTCACGATGGGGACCGACGCGTTGCGGAGCGCGTGGCGGATGAGGACCGTCCGATTGTCGACCCCCTTCGCCCGCGCGGTCCGGATGTAGTCCTCCTGCAGGGTCTCCAACATGCTCGCGCGGGTGATCCGGGCCAGCAGGGCCACGTAGATGACCCCGAGAGCGACGGTCGGCAGCGCGATCGAGTGCAGGAACGGCCAGAACCCGTCGAAGATCGACTTGTAGCCCTGCACCGGGAACCAGCCGAGCTTGAGCGAGAACACGTACATGAGCGCGTAGGCAATCACGAAGACGGGCACCGAGAAGCCGAGCACCGCGAAGATCATGACGATCCGGTCCGTCCAGGTTCCCGCCTTCCAGGCCGCGAGAACCCCCATCGGGATGGCGATGACGACGGAGAAGACGAGGGTCGCCGCGGCGAGGGCGAAGGTCGGCTCGAGGCGTTGCCCGATGAGGTGGGCGACGGGAAGGTCCGAGAAGATGGAGACCCCGAGGTCGCCCGAGAGGATCGCACCGACCCAGGTGAGGAACTGGACGTGGACGGGTCGGTCGAGGCCGAGCTGGGCCCGGATGCGGGCTATGTCCTCGGGCCGCGCGTAGTCGCCGGCGATGACCGCGGCGGGGTCCCCCGGGGTGAGGTGCAGGAGCATGAACACCGCGATCCCGACCACTGCCATGACCGGGATCGTGGCGAGGATCCGATGGACGATGTACGCGTACACGCGAGGAGCCCGGAGAAAAACCGCGCCGGGCCGGGGCGGCGAGACGCCGCTCCCCGGCCCGGCGCCGGGTGCGCTTCAGGCGCGCGGTCAGTTCTTCTCGATGTTCCAGAAGAAACGGCACCGGCGAGACGAGGACCCCGGAGAGCTCCTTGCGCCACGCCACGGGCTGGAACCACTGCCCGTAGTTGACGTAGGGCACAGCACCTCCTCGAAGAGGCGCCCCTGGAGCTCGTCGATGATCACCTTCTGCTTCGCCGGGTCCGACTCGCGGGCGTACATGTCGCGGAGCTCCTCGGTCCGGGCATCGGTCGGGCCAACCGAACCAGGCCGACTCCCTGCCCCCGCCCGAGACGTCGCCGATGTTGGCGATCGGCGAGGTACGTCCGCCCCGTCGAATAGGTGTGGAAGATGTTCCAGCCCCCGTCCGCGGGCGCCTTGTCTCCGCCCGGCGCGACGTGAGGGTGGACCAGTCCATCGCCTGCACCTCGACGTCCATGCCGATGTCGCGAAGGACCTGCGCGGTCACGAGCGACGCGTTGTTGAGGACGGGGATGTCGGTCGGCTGCATGAGGATGATCTTCTCCCCGTTGTAGCCCGCCTCCTTGAGGAGCGCGCGGGCCTTGTCGTAGTCGACCGTCGCGAGGGCTTCGACGCCGACCGAGCTCTCGTTCGGCGTGCCGCAGATGAAGTATGCGGGGCAGACCCGGTAGAGCTTCGGGTCGCCGACGATGGCCCGCAGGTAGTCCTCCTGGTTCACCGCGTAGAGCAGGGCCTTGCGCGCGCTCGGATGGTTGAACGGGAAGTGGAGGTGGTTCGGGCGGAGCCACCCCTGCGTCCCGAGGGGGTCGATGACCGCGAGCTCGATGTCACCATGCTGCTCGAGAAGCGGCACCATGTCGACGGCCGGGGTCTCCCAGAGGTCGACCTCGCCGTTCACGAGGGCGTTCATGGAGGTGGCGGGGTCGGGGATGTAGATCCACTCCACCCGGTCCACCTTGACCACCTTGCCGCCCGCCGCCGCGCTCGCGGGCTCGGAGCGGGGCACGTAGTCCTCGTTCTTGAGGTAGACGACCTTGGAGCCCGGCACCCACTGGTCCTTCGCGAACTTGAACGGCCCGGAGCCGATGACTTCCGGCACCTGCTTGGAGGAATCGACCTCGGCGTGCTCCTGCTTCATCATGAACGGCGTGTTGGAGCTGATCTTGCCGAGCGAGGCGAGCACGAGGCCGTAGGGCTCGTTCAGGGTGAGGGTGAACGTCTTGTCGTCGACGACCGCGAGCTCCTTGGTGAACTGGATGAGCTTCTGGCCCATCCCGTCCTTCGTGCCCCAGCGCTTGATGGAGGCGACGCAGTCGGCCGCGGTCACCGGGTCGCCGTCGTGCCACATGAGGCCGTCGCGGAGGGTGAAGGTGTAGACGAGGCCGTCGTCGCTTGCCGACCAGTCACCGACCATCTGCGGCTGGATTTCGAGGTTCTCGTCCACCGCAAAGAGGGTGTCGTACACCATGTACCCGTGGTTGCGGGTGATGTAGGCGGTGGTCCAGATAGGGTCGTGGTTCTTGAGATCCGCGTGCGGAACGACCCGCAGCACCTTCTCCGCCTGGGCGGCCCCGGATGCGAGGGCCAAGCCGGCCGCGACGCCGAACGCGACGGCGGCCGATCGTAGTCTGCGAGCTGTCATGGAGGCGATCTCCCGGAACTGATTTGAGGGGCGGCGAGGGTAGCACACGAGGCGGCGGCAGACGGGGGCCCGATGCGTTCCAACCGGACGGGCCGCGGCGCGCGGGCGCGCGGGGGCGGACGGCGTCGCCGCGCTCACCCGGGAAGGCGGCCGCCGAACGGGAAACGGACAGGTAGGGGGGGGATAAGCGCACGGGCGCGACGCAGCGGCAGCCCGCCCCCGGACACGCCGAAGCGTCACCGCATCCGGCGGGCGATCCGGGGGTCGAGGGTGTCGCGGAGTCCGTCGCCGAGGAGGTTCACGAACAGGACCATGAACGCGAGGCAGATCCCGGGTGTAGAACAGCATCCAGGGCTTGATCTGGAAGTACACCCGGCCTCGGCCATCATGTTGCCCAGCTCGGGATCTCGGGTGGCGTGCCCGCCCCGAGGAAGCTCAGGAGCGCCTCCACGATGACCGCCGCCGCGCAGACGTAGGTCGCCTGCACCATGAGGGGCGCGAACGTGTTGGGCAGGATGTGCCGGAAGAGGATCTTCGGCAGCCGCGTCCCGGACGACACCGCGGCCTCCACGTAGGGCATCTCGCGGAGCGTGAGCACGACCGCCCGCACGAGCCGGACCACCCGCGGGATCTCCGGTATCGAGATCGCGATGATGACGTTCTGCACGCTCGACCCGAACAGGGCCATGAGGGCGATCGCGAGCAGGATGCTGGGGATCGCCATGAGTCCGTCCATGAACCGCATCACGATTGCGTCGACCAGCCGGACATAGCCCGCGAGAAGGCCGATCACGAGGCCGAGGGCGGTGCTGACGGCGGCCACCGCAAGCCCCACGGTGAGGGAGATCCGCGCCCCGAAGACGGTGCGGGCATACACGTCGCGGCCGAGGTGGTCGGTGCCGAACCAGCCCAGGCAGGGAGTGCGCGACTCGAAGCCGATGGCCTCGATCATGCACGGGGGTTTCAGCCGCACGGCCGGATCCAAGGCCATCGGGTCCGATGCCAGGTAGGGGGCGAAGCCGGCCATCAGGGCCATCAGGATGAGGACGCTCGCGCTTACCATGACCGTCGGATTGCGCCGGGCGAACTCCGCCGCCTGCGCGACGCGGCTCCGAGCCGCTCCGCCTCCGAATACGTCGCCCGCAATCGCGACCATGGCTCAGTCCTCCCCGTCCCCGGCCGACGCCGCGCCGACGCCCGGGCGATCCGGCACGTCGAGCCGCGGAACGCGCACCGGCGGCGTCATTGGTGGCGCCATTAGTAGCGGATCCGCGGATCGAACAGGGTGTACGCGAGATCCGCAAGCAGGTTGACGAAGACGTACACCCCCGAGAACACGAGGATGATCGCCTGGATTACCGGGTAGTCACGGTGCAGGATCGCATCCACCGTGAGACGCCCGAGACCCGGGATGTTGAAGACGCTCTCCGTCACCACCACCCCCCCGATGAGGAGGGCGATCCCGATCCCGATGATGGTGACGATGGGCACCGCCGCGTTCTTGAGGGCGTGGCGCATGAGCACGACCGGCGAGCTCAGGCCTTTCGCCTGCGCCGTGCGGATGTAGTCCTCGGTGAGCACCTCGAGCACGCTCGCGCGCGTGATCCGTGCGATGAGCGCGGTGTACAGGGTGGAAAGGGCGATGCTCGGCAGGACGATGCTCCGCAGGAACGGCCAGAAACCGTCCGCGATCGGCTTGTAGCCCTGGGCCGGGAACCACCTGAGCTCGATCGCGAACACGTACATCAGGATGTATCCAACCACGAAGATCGGAACCGAGAACCCGAGCACCGCGAACACCATGGTCGCCCGGTCCATCAGGGTCCCCGCCCGCCACGCGGCGAACACGCCGAGGGGCACGGCGATGACGATGCTGAGGATGGTGGTGAGGACCGAGAGCGCGACGGTCGGCTCGAGACGCTGGCCGATGAGCTTCGCCACCGGCAGGTTGGAGAAGATCGAGACCCCGAGGTCGCCTTGGGCAAGATGGCCGACCCATTTGATGAATTGGACGTGGATGGGCTGGTCGAGGCCGAGCCGCGCGCGGATCTTCGCGATGTCCGCCGGGTTCGCGTAGTCCCCCGCGATGATCGCGGCCGGATCGCCGGGGGTGAGGTGCAGCAGGAGGAATACGAAGACCCCCACCACGGCCATGACCGGGATGACGGCGAGGATTCTCCGGATGACGTAGAGGCGTACATTCCCGCCCCCCTGACGACTCCGGCGAGTGTACGTCCGATCCCGCCCCCCCGGCAAAGCCGCGGAAGCGGGAGGCGAGCCGCCGGCGCGCGGGGCAGACTCAGGCGGGGGTCGAGGTCGGCGGTCCGCAGGGACGCGCGGACGCCTCGGGGCGGGGTTCCTGCGCGGTGCGAGTACTCGCGATGGTCGATGCCGACGCGATCTGCGGCGCGCCCGCGGCCGCGCGGGCGTCCTTGCAGCAAGCTCGAACCGCAGGAAGTGCACCGAGGACGTCTTCTCGTCGGTGGTCCGTTCGAGGTCCTCGTCCGCGACCGCCCACACTGGACCCGCGTCACCCACCTTCGCCCAGACCCGGTCCTCGACGCCGACCATCCGGCCGAGCGCGGCGCGGCGCTCCTCCTCGTCCTCGAACTCGATCATGAACGTCGCCTTCCAGTTCGAGCCGTCCGGGATGAGCGGGTTGTAGGCCTCGAGCTCGGCCTCGATCTCCGCGGGCTCGAAGATCCGCTCGGTGCGGAGGATCTCGAGCACCTTGTACTCCATGGTGAGGCGGTCCTCGAAGTGCAGGGTCGCGTTGGGGCCAATCGGCAGCCGTCGCGTGCCCTTGTGCCGGAGCACTCGTTCGCGGAACGCGGGGCGCTCGGCCGCGTACCGCTCGAGGCTCAGGAGGTCTTCTCGGGTCAGCTTGTTCATCGGTTGGTTGGCCGCGTGTGTGTGTGGTGTGTGTGGTGTCGTGGGTACGGTCGTGCGCCGGCCGCCGACCCTCGCGCCCCGCCCGTCGTCTTCAGATCCCGTAGGCCTTGCGCAGCAGGGTCAGCGGATGATCGGCCGAACGGCCGTCCCCGAGCCCGTGGGCAATGTGGTTGCCCGCCATCGGGCAATCGCTCCCGAAGTGATCCGGCTCCTCGTCGCGCACCCGCCGGACCACCGGCCGGACGATCTTCATCGAGTGCGCGTAGCTCTCGCGCTTGACCGCGTAGGTCCCGTCGTGCCCGGAGCACCGCTCGATCACGCTCACCCGCGTGTCCGGAACGAGGCCGAGCACGTCACGCGTCTTGGAGCCGATGTTCTGCACCCGTTGGTGGCAGGCGGCGTGATAGGCCACCGTCCCGAGCGAGTGCCGGAAGTCGGTGCGGAGCAGCCCCTCCCGGTGCCGCTGCGCGAGGTACTCGAAAGGGTCGTAGATCGCCGCCCTGACCTTGGCCACCCGCTCGTCCTCGGGAAACATGAGCGGCAGCTCCTGCTTGAACATGAGGACGCACGAGGGCACCGGGGCGACGATGTCGAAGCCTTCGTCGGCGAGCTTCGCGAGCACCGGGACGTTCTCGTTCTTCGCCTTCTCGACCGACTCGAGGTCCCCGAGCTCGAGGCGCGGCATCGCGCAGCAGCGCTCGGACGGCGCGAGGCGAACCGGGACTGCGTTGTGCTCGAACACGGCCGCGAGGTCTTCTCCGATCCGGGGCTCGTTCCAGTTCCCGTAGCAGGTGCCGAAAAAGGACCACCCGGCCCCGGGTCCGCTCCCCCGCCACCGGGCGTGCCGCCGCGCCCGCGCTTCCGTCACCGGGCGTGTCGCCGGAGGCCGGCCCGCTCCCGCCCCTTCGCGGCGTGTCCGCGGCCACGTCCACGCCCGTGGAAGGAAGCTTCCGGAGCCGCCGCCGGATCGACTTCGAGTCGTAGGGGGGCAGGTTCGCCTCGCGGTGGATCCCCGCCCCCGCGTCCATCGCCGCCCGCACCGGCTTCGACCGGTTGGCCGCGTTGACCGCGTTGACGATCACCGGGAGGCTCGCGAAGCGCCCGACCACGTCCGTCTTCGTGATGAGCCGGTCCCTGAGCTTCACCTTGCCGTCGCGGTAGTTCACCGCCTTGGCTCGCAGCATCAGGTGCGGAAAGTCCACGTTCCACTCGTGCGGCGGGACGTAGGGGCACTTGGTCATGTAGCACAGGTCGCAGAGATAGCACTGCTCGACGACCTTGCCGTAGTCGGAACGGCTGACCCCGTCCACCTCCATCGTCTCGCTCTCGTCGACGAGATCGAAGAGGGTGGGGAAGGCGTTGCAGAGGCTCACGCAGCGCCGGCAGCCGTGGCAGATGTCGAAGACCCGTTCGAGCTCCGCGTTGAGGGACTCCTCGTTGTAGAACTCGGGGTTGCGCCAGTCGATCGGATGGCGGGTCGGCGCTTCGAGGCTGCCTTCGCGGACGCCCTCGCGGACCCCGCCGGGCGCCCGGGCGGCGGCCGCAGCCGCGGGCGTTCCCGCCCCCGCTCCGGGGCCGGACGGCCCTCCCCGAGCCGCGGCGTGGGCCGCTTGCGGGGCCGAGGACGCCGCGGCGGGTTGGGAGCCCGCCGCGCAGGTGCCGCCGATTGCGCTTTCCACCGCCATCTCGCCTCTCCCCGGGCACGAGCGGCGGCCGGCGCCGCCGCTACGTCGGTTGCCGTCCCTCAGGCGTCCAGCCCGTCGAGGGCCTTCTGGAAGCGGTTGGCATGGGACCGCTCGGCCTTGGCGAGGGTCTCGAACCAGTCCGCGATTTCCTCGTGCCCCTCGCCACGGGCGGTCTTCGCCATGCCCGGGTACATGTCCGTGTACTCGTGGGTCTCGCCCGCGATCGCGGCCTTGAGGTTATTGGAGGTGCCGCCGATCGGAAGCCCGGTCGCCGGGTCCCCGACCTCCACCAGGTAGTCGAGGTGGCCGTGGGCGTGGCCGGTCTCGCCCTCCGCGGTGGAGCGGAACACGGCGGAGACGTCGTTATAGCCCTCGACGTCCGCCTTGGCGGCGAAGTAAAGGTAGCGACGGTTCGCCTGCGACTCGCCCGCGAACGCGTCCTTGAGGTTCTGTTCGGTCTTGGACCCCTTGAGTGCCATGGTGTCTTTCTCCTGGGTGTGGTGGTTGAAAGCAGGTCTCGGATGGACGGAGAGCATACGGCTTGATCATTCATAGTCAAAATCGTTTGTTCATATCGAATCGATAGTTTTTATCAATGAATGTGCGGCCCTGCAGCGCGGTCGCCGGAGCACCCTCATGCGCCGGCGGGAGCCGTCGTCCCCGGGGGAAGCGGCTTGCCACCGCCCGCCCCCGGCGCCTTCCGAACCGTGTTGGGGAGGCGTCCGAGGACCACCTCCCGGAGGGCATCCAGGACGTGCAGGTTCGGGAACGAGCGCCGGTGGACGAGTCGCACCCGCCGGCTCGCCCCCGGCAGGTCGAGGGGACGGGCCACCACCCCGAGGTCCGTCATCCACGGCCCCCCGATCGCGAGCGCGGGCACGAGGGTACAGCCGAACCCCGCCCCCACGAGCTGGAGCAGGGTCTCGAGGCTGGAGGCGCGGAAGTCGGCGAACTCGCCGTTCGTCTCCGGCCGCCCGCACAGGTCCGACACCTGGTCGCTCAGGCAGTGCCCGTCGGCGAGGAGCAGCAGCTCGCGCCCGCGCAGCGCCTCCAGATCGATCTCCTCGATCTCGTACAGCGGATCGTCGAGGGTGTGGGCGATCCAGAACGGCTCGTCGAAGAGGGCGGTCTCCGCGAGGGCCGGGTCGCCCGGCGCGGTCGCGAGGAGCGCCGCGTCGATCTCGTGCGACTTGAGCCGGCGCAGCAGCGAGTCGGTGACCTCCTCGGTGAGCACGAGCTTCAGAGTCGGGTAGCGCTCGCGCAGGGGCCGGAGCAGGAGCGGCATCAGGTAGGGGCTCAGCGTCGGGATCACCCCGAGGCGGAGCGGGGCGGCGAGGGGATCGCGGCGGGCGTCCGCGATGGCCTCGATCCGTTCCACCTCAGCCATGACCCGGCGCGCGCACTCGATGATGTCCTCGCCGGCCGGGGTGGTGCTCACCGAGCGGCTCGTGCGCTCGAAGACCGGCACCCCGAGCCGCTCCTCGAGCTTCCGGATCTGCCCGCTCAGGGTCGGTTGGCTGACGTGGCAGGCGTCCGCCGCCCGGCCGAAGTGCCGCTCGTCGGCGACCGCCACCAGGTACTGGAGATCACGCAGGTTCACGTCCGCCTCCTCCGCCGGTCCGCGCGCACACCGGCCCGCCCCCCGGTCAGATCATCCGGAGGCGGTCGCGGACCTCGAAGATGAGGGCGTCCGCCGCCGCTCCGATCCGCTCCGTCCGGTCCTCCGAAGCGCGCGTGCACACCTCGAACTCGCCGTCCGTGATCGCCTGGGTGAACGTGATGAGGGAATCGTACGCAGCCTCGTTGGACGGCCCCGGGGTCAGCCTTCCGAGCTCGCGCCCGACCCGCGCGCGGGTTCGCTTGATCTCCGAGGCGAGCTCGCGCGCGCCGCCGTCTTCCTCCGGCCGGAGCCAGTACCGGATTCCGAGATTCTCGAGCTGCCGGACGTCGCTCTCCACCCGGTACATCCGCTCCTGGAGCGCCTGGCGGCGGTTGGCGGCGGCGGTGTAGAGGTGGCTCGGCACCGCCGCGATGAGGACCCCGAACGTGATGAGAACGAGGTCGAAGACGAGGTCCATCCACGGACCGTTCACTGCCGTGCTCCGGCTCGGTCCGTTTCTCAGGCGTGGGCGTGGTCGATATAGGACCAGATCTCCCGCACGAGGATCGCGTCGCGGCTCTCCAGCCGCAGCTTGCGGTGCAGCTCCTCGGGGGTGAAGCCCCCGGTCCCGGGGCGCACGAGCCCGCCGAACGCCTCGCTGAGGAACGACGAGCCGTAGCCCTCCGCGCAGTCGAGGTGGAGCACGACAACGTCCTCGGCGTCGAGGGCCGGGCGCAACGTATCCTCCCGGAACGCTTCCGCGCACCATGGTCCGTCGTCGCGCGAACGGCCCCCCGGACACGGTGAGAAGTCACGCCCCATCCTGATGGTCCGCATCGATGCTGCCCCTTGACCGCGCGGAGGTTTCGCGACGGCACTCGCCCGGCGGCCGACCTGCGCTCGATCTCCAATATTGGGGACGCAACCGGACCATTGCAAGCTCGCCGGAGGGGCCGCCCGCCCCCCACCCGGACGCAACGGAAGTGTCGCGGGCTACTGCACGGAGAACCCGGACCGGTGCGCCCAGCCCGTCATGCGCATCTCGATCCACGCCATGATGGCGTACATGCCGATGCCCTCGATGGCGAGCGCGATGAGGCACGCGAAGACCAGCGGCACCTCGAAGTTGGCCTGCGCAATCAGCATCATGTGGCCGAGGCCGTGGTTCGCCGCCTGCGTCTCGGAGAGCACCGAGCCGATGAACGCGAGGGTGATGGCAATCTTGAGCGATCCGAAGAAGTAGGGGAGCGAGCGCGGGATGCCGACCTTGGTCATGATGTCGAGCTTCTTGGCGCCGAGCGCCCGCAGCACGTCCTCCATCTCCGGTTCGATGGTCGCGAGGCCCGTCGCCACGTTGACGACGATGGGAAAGAAGGAGATGAGGAACGCGGTCAGCACCGCGGGGAGCCAGCCCGAGCCGAACCAGATGACGAGGATCGGCACGACGGCAACCTTGGGGATGGAGTTGAAGCCCACCATCAGCGGGTAGAGCCCCGCGTAGATGGTGCGGTCCCAGCCGACGAAGAGCCCGAGCGCGAGCCCGAAGGCGACGGCGATGCCGAACCCGGCCATTGTGGTCCACAGGGTCTGGACCGAGTTGTTCCAGAGCGCGCCGCCGAACTCGACCGAGGCACTCGCGATGAGGCTGGGCGGCGGCAGCACGTACGGCGCGATTTCGAGCAGCCACACCGCCCCTTCCCAGAACGCGAAGAGCCCGATGGTGCACAGCCACGGCGCCGCCGCCACCCAGTTGATGCGCATCGCGGTCAGCTCCTCGCGTGCGCGATGTGGCCGCGAAGCTCGTACACGATGTCGGCGAACTCCGAGGTGTAGATCACTTCCAGATCGCGCGGGCGGGGGAGATCCACGGTGCGCTCGGCGAGGATCCGGCCGGGGCGCGCGCTCATCGCGAGGACGCGGTCGGCGAGAAACGCCGCTTCGCGGAGGTCGTGGGTGACCAGCACGGTGGTGAAGCCCTTCTCCGCCTGTAGATCACGGATGACGCACCACAGCTCCTCGCGGGTGAAGGCGTCGAGCGCGGCGAACGGCTCGTCGAGCATGAGGAGCTTCGGCTCGTGGATGAGGGCACGGCACAGCGACGCGCGCTGCTGCATGCCCCCGGAGAGCTGCCATGGGAACTTCTCGCCCGCGCCTTCGAGACCGACAGATGCGAGCAGCGCATCGGCCCGCTCATGATAGGAGGCGCGGTTCCTTCGGATGTTGCTTCGATGCGGTTGCACGATCTCCATCGGCAACAGCACGTTCGCCGCGGTCGTGCGCCACGGGAGCATCACCGGGTTCTGGAACGCCATGCCCGCGATGTTGACGGGGCCGGTGACCGCGTCGCCGGCCACCCGCACCCTTCCTGCGCTCGGGAATTGAAGCCCGGTCACGAGCTTCATGAGCGTCGACTTGCCGCAGCCGGACGGTCCGACCACGGCAACGAACTCGCCCTCGGCGACCGAGAGGCTCAGCCCCTCGACCGCCAGCGTGCCCTCGACAGCCCCGTGGGGCCGGTAGCGAAGCGCGACGTCCTCGACGTCGATGAACGCAGCGGCCATGAACGCGCCGTCCGAAACGGACGCCGTCGAGGACGTGCGCCGGTCGTCAGGGCACCATTCGCTCGGCCTTGGGCGGCAGGTACTGCGAGTCGAACACATCACCGGCCGCCGGCCGGTTGGTGAACTCGTAGGTATCCGCGATCTGGTCGATCGAACGCTCGAGGCGCTCCATGTCGACGTCGCCGAACCCGTTCGCGCGCACCTCGTCGGTGATGATGTTCTGCGCGAGCGCCATCTGGAGCCGTTCCAGCTCCACCTCCTCGCGCGCCACGTCGTTGTGGTTGAGCACGTGCTTGACGGCGCTCGCGGGATCCTTCGCGGTTTCCAGGTACCCGCGCACGGTGACCGCCACGAACGCCTTCACCGCGTCCGGATTGGCCTTCGCGAAGTCCGGGTTGACGATGATGACGTTGCCGTAGAGGTCGAGGCCGTGATCGCGCATGAGGATGAGCGAGATGTCCTCCGCGCCCACTCCCTTCGCCTTGAGGTTGATGTACGACGAGAACGAGTAGCGGTGATCGCGTCCACCTTGCCCGCCGCGAGCATGGGCTCGCGGACCGGGAAGCCGACGTTCTCGATGGTGACCTTGGAGGCGTCGATTGCCGTTCGCCTTCACGAACGCCTTCCACTGCGCGTAGGCGCCGTCCGGCGCGGGGGCGCCGAGAATCTTGCCTTCGAGGTCTTTCGGCGCCATCACGCCCAGCGACTTGCGGCCGATGATCGCGAACGGCGGTGCGTTGTAGATGACCATGATGGCCGTGGGGGCGAGGGTCGGGGTTCTTGTCCCGGAACTTGATGAGCGAGTTGATGTCCGCGGAGCCCATCTGCCAGTTGTTGCCGTCGGCAACCCGAGGGTAACGCCTCGCGCGAGCTTGGCCGGTATCCACGGTGACGTCGAGGCCGGCTTCGGCCGTACCAGCCGCGATCTCGAGCGCGAGCAGCACGGGCGCGTTCGGTCCCTCCCATTTCCAGTCGTTCGAGAAACCGGATGCTCGTCTGCGCCGAGGCGGTCGCGGTGCAGATGAGATGCAGACAGCAGCAGGATTGCAGGCGCATGGTCTTCCTCCTGTTCGAGTCGTGGCGTGATTCAGATTTCGGAGCGCAACTTTCGACGAATGCGGCCGCTCATGCAACCGCCGGACACCCGCCGGCTCGCCCTTCAGCGTCGTTCAGTCCGTGCGGCCCACCACCCATGGAGGGTTGGGGCATCTTGGCGCCTTCGCGACGATAATCGGTGCTTTTCGGGCCAGAGAAGCGATTCGAGTTCGTCCGGAAACTCTCGGTCCGTCGGCGGTTCGTTGACGAGAGAATCGTCGGTCCGGCGGGTTTCCGAGGCACGGCGTACAAGAACGTCCTCACCGCCATCCGCGTGGGGATTCGCGAAGCGCGGCTCGGGTGCCTACTCCCAGCGTGGATTGCGGCCGGCCTTGTAGGCATCCATTGCCTCCGCAAAGTCGGGTGCGGCCACCGCCTTTTCCTGCAGCACCAGGTACTTGTGGAAGAAGGCTTCCCAGCCGAGGTCGAAGCAGTCGGCCAGCATCTGCTTCGACGCGCGGCAGCCGGCCGAATTGGACGACGCGTACTCGGCGAGCCAGTTCTCGAACTCCTCGAACGCGGTGTCGTCGCCGACCAGATGGTCGACCAGCCCGATACGTTCCGCCTCGGCGCCGTCGATCATGTTGCCGCGGATGATCAGCGACTTGGCGCGGCCGAGTCCGACGTAGCGCGCGAGGCGAAAGGTGCCGAGGCCGGGGATCAGTCCTTCCTTGATTGCCGGAAGGCCCATCCTGGCCGATCGCGTGCACACCCGGATGTCGCAAGCGAGCGCCAATTGCAGGCCGCCGCCGATGGCGTAGCCGTGGATCAGGCACACGACCAGCTTGTCCATCGTCTCGAACACCCGTATGGCCGAGTCCCACAGATAGAAGTAGCTTTGATCGATCAGTCCGGCCGCAAGCTCCTTGAGGTCGATCCCGGTGGAGAGGGCCCGGCCGGATCCGGTGATCGCCACCATGCGCACATCCTCGTCGGCGGCGATGCGGCACGCCGCATCGAGCAGCTCGCGCGCGCCGGTCATGGCCACTGCGTTGAGCCGTTCCGGCCGCACCAGCTCGAGGCGGACGAGCTGGCCGTCGCGGTTGAGTCTGAGGGTTTCGTAGTTGGTGGTCATGTCCGAAATCTCCCGGGTGGTCGCGACTTCATCGGCAGGGTACCGGTTCGTGCGGCGAGTCTCTCGGGAATGGCGCCGCGCAGCTCGCGCGCGCCTCGTCGAGCTCCGTGATCATCTGCTCGTCGAAGGCGCCGAGCTCCAACGGGCGCGACATCGTATCCCTGGCTGGCGACACCCGGCACGCGTCTCGAGATTCGAACGGAGCGGATTTCGCTCATCAGTACGTCTCCGGGTGCAGTCGGCCGCCCGACATGAGCGCGGGGCCGAGGGTGGACCACGCCAGTCCCGCCTCCTCGACGACGTCGCGCAGCGCGAGCGCCACTGCGCCCTCCATCGCCCGCAGTCCGCAGACGTAGATGTACGTATCCGGATCGGCGATCAACGCGGCGAGGTCGCCGGCCCGCTCACGCATCACGTCCTGCACGTAGCGCTTCGGCCGACCCTTCTCCCGCGAGAACGCGAAGTTGATGTCAATGAAGTCTTTCGGCAAGTTCTGGAGCGGCCCCAGGTAGGGCAGCGCCGCGCGCGTGCGGGCGCCGAAGAAGAGCATCAGCTTCCCGCCTTCGTACCTCCCGGTCTTGCGCAGCCGGCGGCGCCACTCCGTCATCGCCCGCATTGGGGCGCTGCCGGTACCCGTGCAAATCATCACGATGTTGGACCGTGGATGATTGGGCATCAGGAAGCTCGTGCCGAAGGGCCCGACGACCTTCACCTCGTCGCCGACCTGGACATCGCACAGGTAGTTGCTCGCCACGCCGCGCACGGGGTTGCCGTGGTGATCCTCGAGCACACGCTTGATGGTGAGCGAGACGTTGTTGTAGCCGGGACGCTCGCCGTTTCGCGGGCTTGCGATCGAGTACCGGCGCGGGTGGTGCGGGCGCCCCTTGTCGCCGGCCCCGGGCGGAATCACCCCGATCGACTGCCCCTCGAGCACGGGAAACGGGCGCGCGCCGAAGTCGAGGACGACGTGATGGGTATCGTATTCCTGGCCAGCGTCGGTGACCCGCATGTTGCCCCTGACCGTCGCCACGATCCATGGCTCAGGCGCCTTGGCCCCATACAGGTTGGTGCAGGGGTGCGCGGCCGACCAGGGCGGGGTTGTGGAACCGAAGCGCATGCCCCTCTGCGCACTGGTGCCGTTCCCGGCGGCCGGGAGCGGCGGCGCGACCGGCTCGATCACTGGCGCCGAACCGGCTGCGACGCCTTCGGCGGCGAGCCGCTCTGCCGGGGGCTCCTCGGGCAGCTCCTCCCACCCGAACTGGTCCGCCAGGCTGTACGCCATCGAGCGCGGCACCAGGCGCCAGTTGTCGATCGAGCCGGTCGGGCACGGCGCGACGCAGTCCATGCAATGGTTGCACTTGTCCACGTCCACGACGTAGTTCTGCGAATCGTGGGTGATCGCATCCACCGGGCAAGTCGCCTCGCAGGTGTTGCACCGGATGCAGATCTCGGGGTCGATCAGGTGCTGCGTGACTATTTCGCGTTCCATCGGTTCCATGACGCACCCCCTGATGCCGGGCGACCGTCGCGCGGAGGACCGCACCGCCTCCCACGCGCCGGCCGGTGATGCCGCTCAGCCAAGACGCACGTACTCGAAATTCACCGGCTGGCGGTTGACGCCAATCACCGGCGGCGCGATCCAGTTGGCGAACTTGCCGGGCTCGACGACGCGGCCCATCAGGCTCGCGACGAACCCGCGGTCCTCGTCCGTGGGCAGCCACTCGCCGACTCGGGCATGCCACTCCTCATCGCGACTCACGCGACCCTCGGGCGAGGCCTTGACGCCCGCGAGGGACCCGATGCGCCGGTGAAACGCCTTGTGAGGGAGCTGCAGCCGGAACGCAATCCCCGCCTTCGCGATCACCTTGTTCCAGCGGCTGATCCCGCCCTGCGAGTCGGTGATGTAGTCGTCGCGAAGCACCTCGTTGAGGGCGTTGAGCATCGGGACCTCGACCTCGCGGAGCGCGCCGTTCACGAGGTGCAGCACCTTGTAGGTGCCGTCCTTCAGCACGTGGTCGTCGTCTCGCTTGCCCTCGCCGAAGCGTCCCTTGAGCCCGGAGCTGTAGAACGTGGCCGCGTTGCTCGACTCTTCGGCGCCGAACAGATCGATGGTCACGCTGTAGTGGAAATTGATGTAACGCTGAACGGTCTCGAGGTCGATGACGCCGGCCGCACGAAGCTTCTCCGGATCGTCGGTCTTCAGTTCGTTCATCACCTGGCAGGTACGCTGAACCACGCGCGAGACGCCGGTTTCTCCGACGAACATGTGGTGCGCCTCCTCGGTGAGCATGAACTTCGTGGTGCGGGCCAGCGGATCGAAGCCGCTCTCGGCCAGCGCGCAGAGCTGAAACTTGCCGTCGCGATCGGTGAAGTAGGTGAACATGAAGAGCGACAGCCAGTCGGGCGTCTTCTCGTTGAACGCGCTCAGGATGCGCGGATTGTCGTCGTCGCCGGCGCGGCGTTCGAGCAGGGCCTCTCCCTCGTCGCGCCCGTCGCGGCCAAAGTACTTGTGGAGGAGGTACACCATGGCCCAAAGGTGCCGGGAGGGGGAAAAAAAGAAAAAACAAAAGAAAAAAAAACAAAAAAAAAAAAAAAAAAAAACAAGAAAAAAAAAAAAACAAAACAGAAAAACCCACCCCCCCCCCACCCCCCCCTCCCCCCCCCCCCCCCCACCCCCCCAACACCCACCCCCCCACCCCCCCCCCCCCCCCCCCCCCCCACCCGGCCACCCCCCCCCCCCCCCCCCCCCTCCCCCCTCCTCCTCGACGTGCGTTTACCTGGAACAGGTTTCGGAGATCGTATTGGCTCGGGCAGGTCAGGCCGAGGTGGCGCTGCTGCTCGACCGATGCCGGCTCGGTGTCGCCCTGGGTGACGATGATCCGTCGCAGGTTTCGCGCGGTGCTCGCCGGGGACCTCATGCCAGGCCTTCTCGCCCTTGTGGTCACCGAAGTGGATCCGACGATCGGGGTCGCCCGGGATATTGAGGAAGATGCCCCAGCGGTAGTCGGGCATCTTCACATGGTCGAACTGGGCCCACCCCTTGGGATCGACGCTCACCGCGGTGCGCAGGTACACGTCGAAGTCCTGCGAGCCCTCGGGGCCCGTGTCGGCCCACCAGTCGAGATAGTTGGGGTGCCAGCGTTCAAGCGCACGCCGGAGCCCGCGGTCCTCGGTGAGGTTGACGTTGTTCGGGATTTTCTCGCGGTAGTCGATCGAAGACATCGCCATCTTCTCCTTCTCGATGGTCTTCCGGGGCGGTCCCGGCCGCCCGGGAAGCGGAGCCGGCCCCAGTCCGACACGGTCCGGCCCGGGTCAGACCCGGTTCCGGTCGAACTCGGCCCTCTCGCCGGTCCCGTAGACCCTGAGCGCACCCCGTTCACCGACGGCGTTCGGGCGCTGGAAGATCCAGTTCTGCCAGGCGGTGAGGCGGGTGAAGATGCGCGTCACCATGTTCTCGGGACCGTTGAATCGCAGGTTCGCCTCCATGCCGGTGAGCGCATCCGGGGACATCGCGACCCGCTCCTCGATGGCGATGCGAACCTCATCGTCCCAGTCGATGTCGTCGGGGCTCGCGGTGACCAGCCGAGCTCGCAGGCGCAGGCGGCGTCCAGGGGCTCGCCGAGCAGCTCACGCACCGCGGTGAGGGCCGGCTCGTCCTCGCTGAACCGGCGGGCCAGGCGGGCCTGGCCCGTGGCCATCGGATACAGGCCGAAATTCGCCTCGCCCACCGTGACCCGGGGTGCGCGATGGGAGTCGTCCGGGAGCGCGAGGTGATAGGTGCGGTCGCAGGCGAGCGCGAGCTCGAGCAATGTGCCGGCGAAGCAGCACCCCGGTTCGACCAGGGCGAAGAGACTGCGCGACGAGAGGTCGAGACGGCTGAACGTGCGGCGCAGTGCGCCGATGGTCTCGCGTACGAACCAGTGGTCCCGGTTCGCAGAGCGCGTCA